CCCAGGCAGCAGATGGGGGCCCTGAGGCCCGGGAGGGCTTCTGGAGGCTGGCCACAGCCCCCTCGCTCCGCAGCGGCTCCTGGGGGCTCTGAGTCCCCCATATTTATACCCAGGGTCATGGGGAGCCTGGGGGTGCATGGTGGAGGCTGTGGGGTGCATATCCTGACCCCCTCAGAGCAGTGTACAGAGGGCAGCCGGGCTGCCCATGCCTCTTGGTAAATGGCTTTTATTTTTGTACGGATGGCCGTGTGGCCTGTTGTATGTATTGTGTCTCCTCGGGTCCCCCCCCTGCACCCACGCACCTCTCCATGCCCAGTGCCTGTGCCCCCCCACTTCTGCCAGGTGCCCTCTCGCCCTCCTGCCAGCGGCTCCCCACGGCTCTGCTGCCTGCCCGGGGACACGGGGTGCAGGATTTGGGAGCTGGCCTCCGGGGCAGGCACGGGGCGGGCGCTTGGGGGGCAGTGCCATCTGGGCGGGGACACTCAGAGATTAGATGGGGGCACTGGGAGAGGGTCTGGGAGCTCGAGGCTGGGCCAGGAGCAGGACCCTAGGGGAGATGCCCCTGGCAGACGGTGGGAGGGCATCAAATAGACCCTAAAATGGGGGTTGCTGGGGCTTGGGGGACCAGGGCTGCTGCGGGAGCTAAGCACCACTCCTTGGGAAGCCAGGCTTCCCCTGCTACATGCCAGGATTGGCCCCTGGTAACATCGGGTGATTTGCTGCACCTTTTCACAAGGGGAGGTGTAGGACCACCATCCCAGGGAACAAGCCCTGGAGAGTTTGGGTGCTTTACCCTGTGACAACTGCTAGCAAAGCCTTGCCCGGGAGGCTGGTGGCATTTTCCTGATGATGGCTGCGGGCTGTGAGACCTCCCTGGAGCTCAGAGAAGGGGTGGGCTGGTGTCAGAGGCACAGGGAGCATAGGGTGAGCAGACAGGAGCAGGGAGCGGGGTGGAGGGTGCTGCAGTGCTGGGGGAGGGCACCGCACCCTGTGCCATTCCTTGCAGCATCCTCCCCGGCAGTCCCCAGGCCCAGCGCTGCAGGGGATGGGGATGCTGTGGGCAGAGTGCGACGCGGCACTCTGCTCCTCAGCCTGCCACAGGCTCCCGGCTCTGACTCCCCCT